AGTATAATGGAAAGCCCAGAGAGCGTATCACCATCAGAATAGAGGCGAGGCGACGCCCTTTGACCTTGCCGTCTGGGTTCGCACATTGAGGGTGCTTCACAGAGGCACAGCCAAAGCAGCAGCAGCAGCAGCCATCAGCAGAAATAGAGCGTGGAGAACACAGGCTGCAGCCGGGGCGCCATCCATACCCACATGAATCGAAAGCTCCCCTGGCACTTGGGAAGATGTAACATTATCCTCGTTTATTTTTCCCTCAGTCGTCGGCGGAACGGCAACGTCTGTCTCACTGTTACGGCGAGATCTGGATGGCAAAGATGACGTCGAAGATGATGACGAGGAAGAGGAAGAAGAGGCACCAGCGTCTTCACTTGAAGCCTTCTCGGCGCCGGTAGTGTCGTGCGCCTTCTGATCATCCTGCGAGGGTCTGCTGTCAGAACTACTGTTGGTACTCCCACTTTCTGCACCACCTGTCTCATTTGGTTTTTGAGTGGATCCTTCTTCTCCAGTGTTCGGAGCCGTGGTAGTTTCTTCATACCATGACGGGTAAACCATCGGGCGGAGACTGCTGCCGTTAGGGGCGACGGTGCACACCTCACTGTACTTGGGACACGTGATTTTCTTGCTTACGAATGGCGTCGAGGAAACATTCAGTGTACTGTTTTCGGGGCATTTATGCCATTCTTTACTCCCGGCGTACATCACTTCCACTTCATTACCCTCGCACCTCACTCGTGCACACACACCAGTGGATTTACCTGTTCGACCACTTATTGTGTATTCATCTGTATCCAAACAGAATGAATCATTGCCAACGACCGACCCTTCCATTTCGATTGTATTTTCAGCAAAGCATAACAAAGTTCCACTGGTACCGGAATTATCTGACCTTCCTCTCACAAAAACAGCACGTATCTCGTTGAAAGTGGAGTCACGGTAGTATTCACTCGGATCACAGACCCCAAGTGCACTGCGATCAGTTGTGCATGAGTACGAACCATCACTTTTGCAAAACATTTTCGGATATTTTTCTATAAATGTAACTTTGTCGAAATTATTATCGAGCAAATCACAATTGGATTTATTGCCCCATGCCATCGGCTCCGCCATATCCCAATTAACAGAATAATATGGTAGTCCATCAAACACAGACATCGTCAAGGCAGTGTAGTACATGCCGCCAACGGTAAACCTAGACGACATCAGATCATCCTTTGCAACACGATAGTTCCAGTGTGATGAAACTGCCCCCACTTCTCCCCATCTTTCATACTCCAATTCCATGCCCTGAGCTGTATTGCAACCATAGTGTTCCTGTACCTTCTTCACCGTTTTGCTTGAGTTTACCAGCACGCGCTTTCCTCCTTTCTCAAAATTGCTCTCAACCACCATACTATTGTTCTTAAACACATTATAGTCAAATCCAAGTACATGCGCAATGCCGTGTGCCATAACACGAACATAATACCGTTGCGAATTTGTTCGAAATGGGAGGATGTTTATCGCTCCGGCAATCGGCCGGCCAGCATCATTTCTGGCGCAGATTTCATGAATGTTATTCACAGGTCTGGCAGCCACATAGAGTACCATGTCAGTATTTTCAACACCCTTAGAATGGTGTTCCGTAGGAACAGTAAACTTGCTGCAAACACTCGTCTCATTAAACTCAGGAACAATCAACGGACCACTCTCAGGATCAACGAGCAGACGATCCGCGTGCAGTTTAATGGCAGCAGGAATAATGGTCTCGACAAATGAGGAGATCATCTCATCGGTAAAAAAATCAACAGCTTCACAGGCATACTTTTCTCCCTTGAGGTTTTTGATCAACGTCACCTTCTCAGTGCAATACTCACCTTCTTTCAAGTCCAGTGTTGAGGCATTTATGCGGATAAACTTTCGGTTCTTTGTGGCGACGGTGTACGCCCGCGATGCGCTCTCTCCCTGCTGGGGCAACTCCAACACAACTTTAGTCGACGGCTCGGCGAGGATTCCACTCGTGCTGCACAACTGTACAAATAGAAACAACAGCAGCAGGAGAAGCAGTGAGACGTGCATCTGTCGGGTCATTGTCTTACAGTCGTGTATAATGGATATATAGGTATGCTTGCCTTGTGGTTTTTAAACAGTCAATCTACAAGAAACAAGAAAAGAAAGAAAAAGAAAATAAGAAAAAAGAGTATCGTAGTGTATGATATGGAGTTACAAGAACCAGTTCACGTACAGTAACCATCACCCTTCTGTAAATTCAACTACAGATCCCCTGCAACAATTGTCTGCATGAGGATTCATCACTTCAAGGCCCACAAGCAACAACAACAACACCCCGTCAGAAGTACTACTCTGTCATTACAGTAAAAAAAAGAGACCTCTCTCCTTGAACATGGCAATTATATGATGTCAACACGCATGTAAACCTTTGGACTCACCGGTGTTTCAACTCGAGATCCGCAAAGGGGCACAACACAGAACCAAAAAGAAGAGCAAAGGCAAACCAAATAATCATCCACCTACACTCCCCCAATGACAGATTCAAAACACCTCAGAAGCACACGACAAAATCAATCATTCACCATCAACAACATAAACGACAAGAGTTATGAGAGAAGAGTTCTTTACGCCTTCACAAGAGGGTCTATACCCAATGGCATAGTGGTTCCCAACGGTCACTTTACAAGAGCCACTCCCTCTTTACACGCCTGTCT